GCTGTAGAAATGTCGCCTGTCCATCCCCATCGATGACATGAGCCCTGAGCGTCACCTCTGCCGAGTGGCCACCGGGCCGTCATCAGTGCGCCTCTCAGCGAGGTGGCTCCTGCCCGCTGCCCGTGGGTCTCTGCGCGGCCTTTCCCACCTCTGTCCGACCGGCACAGCAACACCTCAAGGGCGCGTCCACACCCTGGTGTCGGTGCTGATGGCTTGGCCGGTCGGCAAGTGACTTTCCCATCTGTGAGCTGGCCTCGTTCTGACACAGAACCGTGAACCGTGATGATTGAAGCGGGAGCTGGTGCAGAGATTAGGGGCGAGAGGATGAGGTCACCGGGCTGAGGGGAGCAGGCTGGGGTCTCCTTCGGCACCTCCTTAACAGTCACGCCCACGTTCGGTGCGCCCAGACTGGACTGTGACCGTGGCCTGTGCTCACAGCGATTCGATCCCGTCCAAGCACCCAGCATGGGCACTGGGTGGCTGAGTTTCCTGAGGCTTGCAGCTCAGCACCCCAGGGGTGCCCCAGTCTGTGTGCCACACCTGCACATGTCACACCCACTCCCAGGACACTGAACCCGTCTGTCTTTGTCGCCTACCTTGATGGGTGATGAAGATACTGAGCAAGGGCCTGGCAGGACGGGCGTTGCTGACCTTTGACTCCGGGGGCTGAACAGGAGGCAGATGCAGATGAGGGGCAGCCCCGGGGGACCCGCCTCTGGCTGCCTCCAGGACACTAAGGTGCCCCAGGGTGGCCTTTCCTTCTGTTGGGGTCTTGGGACAGCTCCTGCCTGGCAGGCCCGGGGGGGGGGCAGGGCCTCGCGTGAGGGGCCCTGGCCACCTGCCTCCACAGAGTCGGCAGAGCAGGCGAGACACCCAGAAAAGCACACTGGGGCTCAGCGCTTCTGCCTCGTGCAGCCCGGAGCCGGCCCTTCCTGCTTCCGGGGGGGTGGCGTGCGTTGTTTCCTGTCTCCAGCTGTGAAGACGAGCCTCAGCTCACTAGTCCATCTGGCCCTGGGGCCCCTGGTGTCCCAGCTACTCTTGTCTGAGCACCCAGTATTTCTGAGGGGACCCAGCACCCCCCAGCTGCCTCCCCTGCCCCCCAGGGGTTCTGGCTGCCTCCTGGCCCTGAGTCTGAACTGCCCCTGTGTCCGGCCCCGAGAGCAGTTTCATCCCGGTCCGAGGCCAGCTCTCCCGCCCCAGGCCTGTGCTCCCTCTGGGCTGGCTGGGCAGCCGCGGGGCAGGACAGAGCGGCCGACTGGCCAGGCGGCAGCGGTTGGAACTTGCGCTGGACACTGGGAGTGCGGGGAAGGCCTTTCTTCAAAACAGAAAGGAAACCTGGGCAGCTTCCGGAACGTGAGTGGGCGAGTGGGTGAGCAGGTGCGTGCGTGGATGGATGCAAGCGACTGTCGAGCATCTTTCTTGGGCTTGCTTGAGATGGTTTTGTGACCAGACACTTAACTGCTGTTTCTGTCAACCGGCTGCGGTCAAATTGGCTTTTCTTTCAATGTCCCTTCACTTCAGGTCACCGTTTCCAAGAAGCTGCTGGGATGCCAAGTGATAGCTCACCTAAACGGTGACTTCTGTCCCTTCCTCCTGGCCTTTCTCTTCCACCTTGACACCAAAAAGGAAGTCATGGGAAATGGACTTTAAACACAGCCCGTGTCCCCTCTGGCTGCCTTACCTCGCAAACGCAGACCCCAGGGGAAAGGGAAAGAAGTCAGACCCCCCACCCCGCACCCCCCAGCAAATCCAGCTCCCAGGGGCCTCTCCCTTGTCTGCTGCTCTTGTCTCCAGGGTGCAGCGGCACCCAGGACGCCCCAGCAGGGACCCCTCCCTGTCACCTTCCTGCCCCCAGCGCTCCCCCACTCTCCACCTCTGCTACCCCACCCCGACCTCTCCGAGGCCCCTCTCTGGCTGCTTTTAGCCAGCGGTCACTCGCCATCTGGGCTCGGCTTGTCAGTGGAGTGGCCGCGGGCAGGGCGGGGGCCAGTGGCGGTGCCTTTGCTTAAGGCGCCTCCACCCCCACCCGCCTCCCTCTGCTGCCCCCAGTTCCAGTCTCCCTGGTGCCTGTGCGGCCAGGCGGGACGGACAAGGACAAAGCAGGACCACGCTCCTGTGTCCTCCAAAGGGGGCGCAGGGGACGCAGGGGCTCCTCCACTTTCGAGTCCTGTCTGCCCCCACATCCCCTGCTGGAAATCGCTCATTTGTGCTTCTCCCCCCCCCACCCCCAGTTTATGACGGCGAAGTGGACGCCTGCCAAGCCCCTCCGCCCTGCGAAGCTGGCGGCCAGTGCCCCTTGGGGGAGGGGGCGCCCCCTAAAGTTGAATATGCCCGAGAAAATGCTTCCTCGACACCAGGGTTCTTGACCTTGGAAGTGTGTAAGCCGAGGTAGAGGAAGTAATGACGGGGCTTGGAGCACAAGTTTTCAAATTCCGCGCAGGAAAACCGAGGTTCTTAAGGTGCCTGCCTGCTGGCCTCGTGTGTACCCCCACTCTGCTTAACCCGGCGGGAGCCGTGGGGAGTTAGATCACACAGGCCACCTCCATTTTGCAGAGGAGGCAACATCATCATCAGCTGCCTGTGACCATGTGGCCGCGGGGAGCGCACAGGAGGGTCTGGACTTCCTCGGCGTCCAGCCCCCCGGCAGCTGAACCGCCCCTGAACAGCGCCCCATCCCTGCCAGCCTTTGCGGGGCCTCACCGCTCGCTGCTGCGAACCGAAGCCCTGCCGTTCCCCACTTCACTCCGCCCGGTGTCCTGTCTCCCGGCGGCCTCTGCGCTGCTTCCCAGGATGCCCCCCAGCTCCCCCCAGCTCAGGGTCTGGGCACCCCGCCTGCAGGCTGCCTGACGCATTCCTAGGGCGCAGGCCCACTCCTGGCGGGCACCTTGGCTGCGTGCGGGGGACAGCAGGAAGTGGTGCCCCACTGGAGGTCACCTGGCCACCATGCCCGTCCTCGTGGGTGACCCCTAGGTTCCTGGTTCTCAGCACTGTCCGCGCGTTCTTAGAATCTGCAGGTCTGGGCCCGGGGCGGCACGGTTGACCCAGCCCGGGCACTGGCAGTCTCCGTGTGCCTGCACTGCACGCCAGGCAGGCTGAGAGCTGTGGCTGAACTCATGACTCCGTGCTAATGCAGCGATCGGGCGGGACCGGGGTGTGGGGCTCAGCGTCCACGGGCGCCCGACCTAGTGCGCACCTGACCGATGCCTGGGGGAGCCGCGCAAGGACACAGGACCGCCAAGTGGAGAAGGGCCGGGTGCGAGGGTGGGGGGGGTGCGTGGTCCAGCAGCCCCAGACGCCGGGAGAGTCCAGGATCACCCAGCGGGGCGGTGCCCTGCTGAGAACCGCCTGGCAGGCTCCCGAGGGTGTGGCACCCGGTGGCTGGAAGCCGCCTGGCAGAGCCGGGCAGGGCAGAGGTAAGGTGGTTGCCAGGGCAGAAGAATGGGGCTTCTGTGCTGCTTATCAGCACGCTGCTCCTGCACAGGATGCGGAGGAGGCTGGCTGCGAGCAGCCCGGGGCCCCAGACTTTGGACGGAGCCCCACCTCTGCCCCGCTGCTGGCCTGGGCTGCCACCCGTGGTAGCTGGGGTTAAGCCCGCGCCTGCCCCGGGGGTAGTGTGGGCAGTGGGCGCCGAGCCGCAAGGTGCCGGGTCCGCACCGGACTGGGAAAGGCCGCGAGACCGGCCAGAGGCCTTGACCTTGCTCTCCGCGAGGTCAAGAGAGCCGGCTGTATCCACTCAGCCTTCGCGGGCAGCGAGGATTTGGAGGACGAGCACCCACTGAGGGCCGGGCACAGAGGTGGGGCCAGGGCTGGGGCAGCAGCGGCAGATCCTGCTTGAGGTTTGCTGCTTCAGCGGGCGACGCAAGTGCCCCGGCTCCTGGAACAGGAGCCATGGAGCTGATGGTGGGAGCTTCTAGGGCAAGCTGCGTTTCTGCCCAGGGCCGGCGGGAGCTAGCACAGTGACCTGACCAGGCCCTGTGACCTGACCAGGCCTCTGTCCACTGTGCCACCCACGCTGGGTTTGCGCCTACACGGGGACCCAGATGCTGAGAGTGAGACTCGGCGCTGACCCTGAACTCGGCTCCCAGGGCCCCGTCGTCACCCCCTGGGCAGCGGAGGGGTCTGCCGGAACTGCTGCCAGGCGGCCCCCCGCCTCAGGCCCTGGCGATCAGGAGGGCCCTCCCCGGAGGGCCGGGACAGACCCGAGAGCCGCCCCTGCGTGCGTCCGCAGGTGCATCCCCGGCCTCTGCGTCGAGCGTGGCCGCGCATGTCTCTCTCGGGGCGTCTTGCCCCTGCGCTGTCCCTTCTGCGCTGACGTCCACCTGCGTGTGCAGCGGCGCTCAGGACGCGTCGCCCACCAACCCGCTGATTCTCTCAGACAGGCCTCGGTATCCCCAAAGTCAGGAGAAGGGAGAGGAGGGAGGGAGGGTCATGGGGAGCAAGACGGGCCCAAAGTGGGGCGCCCAGGTTAGAGTGGCACAGAGCCCGGAAGTCCCGGCCCTGGAGACCCGCGCCTGGGGGCACTGGCACGCCCGGCCCCCTCCCGCGAGGTTGCTGTAGCTGAGCGGTGCGTGGTCCCGGGCCGGAGAGAAGGGGCCGTCGCCAGGCTCTCTGCAGCCGCGGTCACGCTGCCGGCTCTCGTGGGGTGCTGCTGTCCCCAGGGAACCCCATCCTCGTCTGTGAGGTCTGGGGTGTGCAGAGCCCAGTGATGGACACCACGTCGTAGAGCCAGCTGGGGGGTTCCGAGCACCCCCCTTGCGTGCGCCTGGCACATAGGATCCAGTGACCGGGGCCCCAGGACAGCCTGAGGGTGGGCGGGGGCTCCCTGCGCCTCCCCGCCCCCTGCTGTGCTCACCACCTGCGCACGCCCTGACCTTGCTCCTTCCTCCACCTGTCACCGGCCTCGGGGGTGTCTAAGGCCACAGGATGGCGTGGCCAGCAGGGCCCTGTCTGGGGGTGCCCGGCCGGGGCCAGCCCCTTCATGCGCCCTCTTGGTCTTGCAGGAACTTAGCCATTGGAATTGGGATCCAGAATTTCCCGGAGGGCCTTGCTGTCAGCCTGCCTTTGCGAGGGGCTGGCTTCTCCACCTGGAAAGCCTTCTGGTAAGTCCTCCTGGCCTCCGCTGTCGGGGTCAGCGTGCGGTCAGCAGCAGTGGCCGTCCGTGCAGGCTTCTTCCAGAACAGCCTCTTCTGGTGAAGCGCTGGCCTCTCCTGGGCCTGGGGTGGTCTGCCGGCCCGCGTGTCATCTGGGGAGCTTGGGCGGCGTGTGGCTCTCCCACCCCCACCTCATAGCTGGGGGCTGGGGCTCAGAGGCAGGGAGTCTTGCCGAACCCTACTCGGAGGGACAGTGAGGTCCCGACGCCTTGTCCGGGTTCGCGTTCGACCAGCCTGTGTCTTGCCGGGCTCGGCTGTCGGGCTCAGGGTGACGGCCCGCTGTCTGCATTCCCGGGGCCCAGGGGGCTGCCGTTTCGGTCAGGGCGCCTTGATTCCAAGCAAGAGAGCCGCTCGTGTTAGCTTAAAAACGGGGGGTTTTATCCGTAGAGAAATCTCACCGTAGTCCAACATAGGGGTCTCAGGGACAGGCCCTGGATGTACATTGACTGGCCGGCCCATCTGTGGCAGGGGTGGGGACGGCCCTCCAGCAGGGGCCTGGGGGTGCAGCCCTGCAGACACAGCAGTTTCCAAGAACCGGCCCTCGGGGGCCAGCGGGACTGGTGCCCCTCCAGACGTGTTATTGGCCCGCGCGCCCCTGGGAAGCGCCAGTGAAGGGGGCCCCAGGCTGCGATTCCTTCAGTGAACCACCCGAAGGGGTGGGCGTCCAGGGCTGCAGCGGGGAGCAGGGAGTGGCTGCGAGCGGGCAGGGCTTTCTTTCCGGGCCCGAGGAGAATGTGCTGGAAGCAGAGTCGGCTGCGCGCACCACCTCTGCCCATGCTGAAAGCTTCAGAGCTGCGTGCCGAGGTGGGCCGCGAGTTCTGTCTCCACAGCGGCACTGACGGTGCTGGAAATTAGCCGCGAACAAAGCAGCGGGCGGCCTCTCCGGGACCCTCCCTCGGCCGGGGTCTCGGCTGGGGCCGCTGGGCCGGCGGGCGGGCGGCCTGAGCCGGGGCCTGGCTCCGGGCACGAGCTGCGTTCTCCCCGCAGGTACGGGCAGCTCAGCGGCATGGTGGAGCCTCTGGCCGGGGTCTTCGGGGCCTTCGCCGTGGTGCTGGCCGAGCCCATCCTGCCCTACGCGCTGGCCTTTGCCGCGGGCGCCATGGTCTACGTGGTCATGGATGACATCATCCCCGAGGCGCAGATCAGGTGGGCGAGCGAGCGTCCCCTCCCCGGGCCCAGCCCCCTGCCGCCTCTTTCTTTCCTTCTACCCCTCCCACGGAGCGTCCGTCCACCCCCTCCTCAGAGAAAGAGGACGAGTGGGCAGCGGCGAAGAAGTGGCCCTCCCTGCCCACCCACAGCAGCCGGCATTTTTGTCGGTTTTCATTCATTCTGATTCCGCTGTCTCTGTCTGTCTGTCTGTCTGTCGTCTTTCTATTCACTATCATCTATCATCTGCCCTGTATCTGTCGCCTGGCAGTCAGTCAATCTCTCATCTGTCAGTCAGTCTTTTCTTCGCATCTTTCTGGGGCTGCGCTAAGGGACGAGATGAGCTTCGCCAGCGAGAGCCAGCCTGGCCCCGGTGCTCACTGCCGGGCTGCGGCCAGGCGCGGGGGCCGCTGGGCGAGGAGGCGTCTCTTGGTTTTCATAGCACAGTGGTTTGAGACGCGTTCGCAGGGGCCGCGCAAATCCTCTCTTCGGTAAAGAGTGGACGCTCTTCATTGTCCAGCCGTGGGCCCCGGGGCCGTGGTCGTGACCTTGGGCACGTTCCTCCGGCCTCCACTTCCCCACCGTACCACGGGAAGGCCACGCTGACTTCAGGTGGCCGTCCTTGGGGCGACGCGGGTTCCTCGGCCTGCCGGGCCCACCAGGCCCCGCAGGCGTTTCTTGTCCACGTCCTCGCCGTGGTGAACGGTGGTCAGCATTTTCTGCCGGAGTCGACCCGCAGAGGGTGTTTTCAGCAAGGACAGCATCCCAGCTGACGCTCTTCCTTCCTTCTCTCCTAGCGGCAACGGGAAGCTGGCGTCCTGGGCCTCCATCCTGGGGTTCGTGGTGATGATGTCCCTGGATGTTGGCCTGGGCTAGTGCTGGCTCACGGGGACCCAGGACCGGCAGCGCCAGGAGCGGCGGCGGCGGGCGGCGGGGGGAGCGCCTGCCCCCCCTTCACGTTAGCACCCTTTTCCTTTCTCCCCTTTCCTCCCTTCTCTGATTGACTCTGATTATGACCATTTCTACTTTTTCTTTTGCGGGAGATACTGGTTTTAGTTGCAATTTCAAGGTGTCGCGCAAGTCCACACATCTTGCTTGGCCGCTCGACGGACGCTTTCTTCAGTGGGATTTCCGGGACCATCCGGATCGGGGAAGGTTCTGCTTCCATGCCTCCACGCTCCCCTGCTGGACTCAGGGCAGCTCTTCCGGGTCACCTGCGGCAGCAAGCCCAGGAGGGAAATGAGGCAGGACTGCAGGTGCTGCGGGCCTGACCCTCAGGACACCTCTCGCCGGCCTCTCCGAGGTCGGGGAGGGATCGGGCACGCCACGTCCCTGCTTCCCGAGGCCCCAGGAGGGACCGTCCCTGTCTTCCTGCAGAGGGAGATACTAAGCGCGCGGGAGGAACACAGGCGCAGGGTGGGACCTCAGCTGGTCTCTCAAGGCAGAGACAAGCGCTGTCGGCGTTAAGGGATTGAGGACGAGGTGAAGACAACAGGCAGAGGAACGTCCGTGGCCTGATGGGGCCCTGCTGAGTGTGGAGTCCAAGAGCAGAGCAGTTTGTCATAGTCTCCAAATCCCCTAGACAATTATTTTGACGAGCTTCTGGCCTTCATTTTTTTCTCAGAGGCTGGGGGACGCGAGCAGACCGCTGCGGCCCACACGCTTTACTGAGTTGTGGGGGAAACGGCTGCCGCGAACCCGAGTCAGTGGAAGACACTGGAACCCACCCTAGGTCTCAGTCCTCACCCTGTTGACCGCCCGGTGACTGGTGACCTGACCCAGAACCTCAAACAGCAGCAGCAGGCTTCCCTGGAGCTTGGCCAGAGAGCTTAGGACGAGAAAGGAAGGGGTAGGGAGAGAGATTTTTGAGTTTCCCTTCTACAGAAAACTTTGGCCACGTGAGCATTCTGAAATGCCAAAAGGGTGACTTGAAGCGGAGCAGAGGCCACCCACTCCGGCACACACAGCTTCAGCAGCGGGGCGACGAGACCCGTCTGCTCCACGCACAGCGAGGCCTGCCGTGCTCAGCCGTCAGAGGGGACGTGCACCTTGCCTGGGCTCCGCTGTGCGCTGGCCCGGAGCCAGGCTCCAGGCACAGGTCACCCACGTCTGCCCGCCGCGTTTACATGTTTCACTGCTTCGCAGGGCGGCACTCTGTGAGTGCGCTAAGACCCCACGGCCAGCTCTTGCCGGGCCTGGGTCTGTTCTTCCAAAGTTCTGAGCATCAACATTGAAGACACGTTCAAAAGTTTGGTTGGTCAAGATTAACTGGTTTGGTGGTTGGTGTGTGTGTATTTCTTTGTCTTTGTGTGTCGTTCTCCATAAGGCAGACTGCTTTCTGAGGGACGAGACCTCATAACTGTGATGAATACCAATAAAGGGCAGATTGTGGATGACCCGTGGCTGTGTTCGGTCTTTCTCAAAGTCGCTTCTTCCCAGGGTTGATAGAATAAGAGCTAAGGGAAGTGAGGCCTGACAGCCCCCTGCCCGGCCCCAGTTGAAGCAAAGGAAGACTCAGATCAGACTCATGGCTCTGAACAGCAGTGCTGCACCCCCTTACTTAGATAGAATTGAACGGAAAGCTGTCAGGGAGCTCACGAGAGCTACAGAAAATCAGACTGGGACAGGGGTCCGGGACCATGGCCCGGTCGGGTCTCATGAAACAGCCGCCTCACCGTCCTCCCAGGCAGATCCTTAGATACCAGACATCAGTACTCACCCCGCTCCCCCTGACGTCACGACCACCACGGGCAGGAATGCTAAACTGACCCGGGCCTAGACGGGACATGTAGCTGGTGGAGCCGAGGCCCCGTGCCCTTGAGCTGTCTGGTCCTGCCTCCTTCCCCAGACACAGGAACGGATCGAACGCGTGCCGCAGTGGCTGTGACAGCTTCGTGGTTCACGGTGCTGCGCTTTAACCCGCTGCACCACCAGGGAGGCCCCAAGGGTCTTTTTCTGAGCTGCCGGCACTGCTGAACGGGACTCGGCCTCGAGCAACTGAAGGTGGACACTTACCCTCTCAGGCTTTACCTCAAGAGGACTCTATTGCCCGCGACCGGTATGAGAAGTGTGGTGTGGGGCTGGACCTCATCTTGCCCAGGACCCGACGGAAGTCTGCCACGCTGCTGTGCAGGGGTGGCCGCTCCTTAGGTGAGGACCCAGCGCCAGGCACCTTTCTCCCCTCCTTGCCTCGGATCGGGCCCCTCTTTACACAGGAAGCAGGTGGGGTCCCAGAGGTCTTAACTAACCAGGCACTGTGTGGTGGTGGGGGGGGGCGGGGGCCCGAGGGGCAAGGGGAACCCGGCGTTGACTGCCCGGGCCACTCTCGGTCCGTCAAGCTTTGTGGGCCTTGTCCTGCCTCTCTCACTGCTAATAAGTCAGAGTTGACTCTGGGAGTTGGAAGCAAACAGGAGCCGGGGGGCTGTTTGCTCCCCCGCTTTCGAGAGCAGCAGCACCTATAGCAAAGGCCGCCTCCTTAGAAGGGCACAGAGCACCGCCAGTCTGCTTGACCAGAATCTTCTTAAGCCACAGGCCTGGGACCCAGCTCCCCCTGGGGTGTCCCCTAGCCAGAGTGCCTGGGCTCAGCTGGTCTGGCCACAGGTACAGGCTGCAGAGCAAGGGGCCCTGCCAGGTGAGGCTGGGCCGCCAGAGCTGGGCTCCTCCCGGGGCGCCACTGTGAGCCCGAGGAGCCTCCCAGTGGCCTTGGCCTCCCGGGGGCACCTGGCCGGGCTCCGAGGGTGTGTCTGGCTGCACGGCGGGGCGCCATGCCCGCAGCGGGGTAGGGAGAGGGCGGCACCAGCTTGGCACGCAACGGGCCTTGCTGCTGGACGCCTGCCCTGGCCCACCCTCGCCCTCATCCTCTGTTGCGGTGCCCGGCCACCACGAGGCTGGCCCCAGCCACCCAGGGTACCCGGGCCCTCCTGAGCCTCCCGTGGGCTGGTCCCTCCCACTGTTCCCCTTGAGGGTGGACCTGGGCTTGGGGAAATCTGAAGTTGATGCAATTTGAGGGGTGATCTTTGGGAAAGCAAATCCAAAAGGACTATTGTTGGGGGGAAAGGATGTCCTGAAGGAACTCTACAGAGTTTTGTGGGCTCCACCGCCTACTCCAGTTATTGAAACTCCCAGCAACACCAAAGGGAGGACTGCGAGGACCAAGGGCGGAGCTACGCAGGCTTCTGGGACTTTCTGGGATATATGTATATGCTTGCGTATATGTATATGTGTAATGTGTGTATATATACGTGTGTGTGTGTGTGTATACGCACACATATGGGAGCCATGTTGAGCTCTCTCTCTCTCTCTTTCTCTCTCTTTCTCTCTTTGGACCTCGTGGCTGGTGGCTGGTGGCTGGGCTCTTGATGAGCTTTCAGTGTGTTGTTGGAGTTCCAGGTCATTGGAACTGGTAGGATGCTCCAGTTAGCTTGTATCTCTCTCTCTCTCTTTCCCTGGGTGGGGGTGGGGCGATGGCAGCTGGACGGGGCCTGGTCCCCTCCGCCCATCCCATCCCCATCCCCTTGATGGTGCCTGAGCTGGCGGCAACTTGGTGGAAGAAGGAGCCTGCCTGACCACTGTCCCCCAAAGCTACCTCTGGTCCTCTGCAGCTTCTGATGGGGATGCTGCGCCTTCGGGCCCCCAACATCTTAGGGCCCTGGGCTACTTGCCCTCTGTTCCACGTCTTGGGTGGATGCCTCTCCTTGAGCCTCTGGACCAGTAACCCAGCAGCTCTGCACCCCACCCCACCTCAACCCAGTTAACAGACCGACTGGGACTTGTGTGGGTCTTTTCTGACCCAAACCCCAACCTGATGCACTATGGACCCCACAGTTAGTTAGTCTCCTGCTGGTCTCCCTGTCTAGCTGGGAGGGCATGGGTCCAGCCTGCTGGATGTTGCTAAGGATGCAGCCTGGAGTTTAAGTCCAGACAAGCATCTCCTCTCACTGATGCAAGAGCTATGGCCTTCAAGAGTCCCGGATGTGCCAGGGCGGAAGGAAAATACAGGACAAGCCCGGGGGAGGCTGCAGAGAGGGGAGCGCGACCCCAGCATCTGGGTTCCCCCTTGCGGGTCTGCAGGCGGGTCAGAGTTGCGCCCTCTCTTCTGACCATTGCCTGCTGCCCCGGGGTCTGCGTGGGTCACTACTGCACCCCTGCCCCGCTGTCTCCTCTGGGACACCCTGGTGTCCCATGGGAAACAACAATCACGTCATTTAAGAATAGTACTTAAGCTTATGCTTCACAGTTTTTCTTCAACGGGAATCTCAACATTGCTCCCTTTCTACCTTTTTTTTTAATGATTTATTTATTTATGCACAGAACTGGGGTACAGGCCAGAGGTGCAGGGGTCGTAAGAGGAGTCACCAGAGACAGAGTGGGGAGCAGAGCAGGCAGATCGACGAAGTACACTGCTGAGGGGAGCCGCGGGGAGACAGGAGAGGTCTGCTGCGCCCTGTGGGTCAGCTCTGGGGTGGGACTAGAACTCGTGCTGAAGTGGCTTTAGCTTTGTAGTGCTGTGCTGTAACCCACTGCGCCACCAGGGAGGGCCCCTTTTTTCCTTTTTCATTCAAAATTGCCTATAAAACTTAGGTGAAATTGTAAGAAATGTACATATTCTCATTTACTGACAGGCCTAGAATACAGGTCAACAGACAGAAGAGCACACGGCCTAAATGCTTCGTGACCTTGTCGATTTCGTCCTTCGGGACTTGGGTCATGTCTGGCAACTCAGTGGGTGCTGGGCCTTGTGGTAGTTCTATAATGAATCAAAAAAGCAGTCTCTAAAAGTCCCCCAGCTCCTGAGGGTCAGATCTGTGGGGTTAGCCAGGTCCTCTGCTGTCTCACGAGGCAGCTGTCCAGATGTTGGCTGAGCTGCGTTCTCCCCTGGAGGCCCTTCAGGGGAAGAATGTACTTCGAGACGTCCAAGGGATGGCAGGATTCAGTCCCCAGCAGTTGTGGAATGAGGGGTCCCGGCCTCTTGCTGTCAGTAGGCTAGCTCCTGGGGGTGCCTGCAGTTTTCGTGCACCCCCAATTCCTTAGCTCACGGGCTTTCCTAACACGGCCACTTACCTGCCAAACACCAAGCCGGCCAGGTGCGCTCTGGGCGCGAGAGGAAGTGTGGAATAACAGAATTGCGGGTGATACCTCGTCACCACTAGCTTGTTCTCTGGCTCCGAAACCTGGGTCTCATGGTTGATTTTGTGCATCAGCGGGCTTCCTTCCACTGGCAAGGGCAGCATGGTGCTGCAGGTGACATGTGGAGGTGACGTGGCTTTGTTCTCTCTGGGCACATGCGCTTGAGTGATGCAATGCAGGGAGGGGTGCGTGAGCCGGGAGGACATGGGGGGCTGGGACCCCGAGAGATGGGCTCTGCTGGGACCCGGGTCTTGCGCTGTCCTCGCTGATGGCTTCCAGAAGCCCATCCCCCACACTGTAGGCGAGGGCTACTCTAGGTGACCAGTGGCAGAAACTGGGGGGCTCTGAGTGCTTTGTGGGATCCTCTCTCACTTATCAGCAGAGTAGCCGAGTGAACAATCAACGTGCTCCAGGTTCAAGTTTCCGTTGCCCTGCAGGTACCCCGGCGACGATCAGGCAAAGACGCCTTCATTTTGGACAAGGCCCTTAGTTCGAAGCAGGGACTTACAGCGTGACTCCCAGCGACATAGCCCACCCAGTAACTATGCAAGTCATGGCCACTGGCTGTTCTTTGCAGGCCAAAGTTAGAAGGAAAAAGCACAACCATCTGTCTAGAACTCCTAGAAGTCTCCCAAGGATTCCTTAAATTATATCCCCATATATTCAAAACCTGGTGGCAGGCTGGGATAGTAAAGGCCATAACACTGTCTTATAGGTCAACATACAGCCTCACCTTTCTCACTTTGGAGCTGAGTGTAAGGGACACACTACAGGCGACCTGGTGGAGATTTGAATGCTTTATGTTCTGGAAGCCTGGAGGGGTCACGAAACCGCGTCAATGTGCTTCCCTAGGGCTGATTCCTGACCCAGTGGGTTCTGCCTGTTTAGGAGGGTGTGATGTAGGTGCGTATGTTTGGTTAATGCCCAGTTCTTGGCAAATGCAGATTCTTGGCAAAACTATTAGGTTGGCAGGTGCTGAAAAGTAAAATCCTCTTTTTTACAAATCAGAAAAACTGCGATGCCAGGCTCCTGTCATCACCCCTCCGGGCAGAGGCCGCATCCCTCAGCAGCCAAGGACCCAGGCCCGGAGCAGAGGCACTGGCGGAAGTCCCTCTCCCCTCGGGGTGGCCTGCACGGCTTCCTGTCTGGGCTCCCCTTAGAATATTCATTTCCCAGCTGTGAAAGGCGAGGTGAGATGGCCGGAGGGTCAGCCCCATCCTGAGGTTAGGCCGGGTTGGGGTGGGAGCCCAAAGGCAGGCTGGGGTGGGTT